AACAAACAAAAAACTTAGGTACCAAGATATTAAACAGGCCACCACATGAGGATTAGATGAATTATATACGAACCCAAAAGAACAGGATTAAGATTTTTTTTAAAAACAATTATGGGAACAATATTTCTACTTAGCATAAGACTTTCTAACAATGAACTTTCTAACATCTAACTAACTAGACATTCTAACATCTCTCTGAAGATGAAAAGAACTCCTCTAGAAAGCTGTCCTGTCAGAATCCAAGCTCAAATAACCAAGAGTGTTCAAGGAAAGGAGGGATGACCACATAAAAAAGGACATTACAGAATGGGATTCCAGAATTATCAAGGTGAAGGCTAACCGACTTAATGTTGTGTCCAACTCTGAAAATATTATTAGCGATATTTCTATTAGCTAATACTAACAGCAGTTATTCACTTACTGAGCTCTGATAATGAGAATGGTAGGGATGCGTAGGTGGCTCAGTGGTTAAGCGTCTCTCTGCCTTTGGCTCAGTGTGTGATCCCAGGGGTCCTGGGATAGAGTCCTACATCAGGCTCCCTGGAGGGAGCTTGCTTCTCTCTCTGCTTATGTCTCTGCCTCTCTCTGTGTGTCTCTCATCAATAAATAAATAAAATCTTTAAAAAGAGAGAGACAGAGAGAAAGGTACTGTACTGAGCAAAACAATCCTTCACCACTTTATAGGTAAAGCAAAGGGCTCTTTGGGGCACCTGGGTGGCTCAGTCAGTTAAACATCTGCCTTTGGCTTGTTGTGATCCCAGGGTCCTGGGATGAAGCCCCACAGCAGGCTCCTTGCTCAGCGGGGAGCCTGCTTCTTCTCCCTCTGCCTGCTGCTCCCCCTGCTTGTGCTGTGTCAAATAAATAAAACTTTAAAATGGGAAGAAAAAAAAAAGGAACAAGCGCTCTGCAAGCTTAAGTCACTTGCCCAAGACATATAAATTGGCAGAGCAGAGATGCAGAAGATCTTCCATCTCTGAAGGCAATGAAGAAACGGACTGCTAGCAATATGCGTCCCTATAAAGATGTGATATTACAGCCAGATGTGTTAGCTTCTATCTGACATCTTAAAGGAAAATACTCTTGAATAAGCAACAGTGAGGTTTTTGGTTTTTTAATGAACAGATGACACTAGACATATACAATGCAGTGTATGCAAATACTGAGGAGCTAGAGGAGGAATAATGAAAGGTAAAATGTTTAAAGTCTTATTACCTTAGAATTTAAAATATTCTACACACATCAATATCTCAGCACCAATCAATAGCAATAAAAATGAAATTACCATATTCTGTGTTATACAGTGTTATCTTTTTGTTTTATATAGTTATACAGTGTTATCTTTTTGCAGTGAAATTATTTTTAATAAACAACTGCAGTAGCTCACCATTCTGTATACATTAGCAACTACTGCCTTTTGGAAAAATGATAAATTTATATTACTCCTACTTAGCTGTAAGTGAGAGACTCTCTTTTAATTAAACAAATCCGTATGCCTAGAAATACAAAAAGCAAAAATAATAAATCAGTAGTATAAGTTGTTAAAATGTGAACTGGGAGGAAAAAAGAGTTTGAGAAACACAAACACCCTGCAAGTGATACATTCCTTGATGATCTGCTTCAATAACCTCAATTCTGGCTTTCGTGCTAGAAACTTAAAATACCTGCAATGGGAAACCCAGTCGATCTTTCTGAATAGAAATGGAAAAGTATCATAGAAAGTAGCCAGGAATAAGACAGTAAACTGTATTTCAATAAATTTGGGTTGTAAACAGATAACTAAGTTACAGCAAATGGTCTAGGCTAGGGACAAACAAAAGGGCAAGCATGTGTTAGCCAACCCAGATTCTAGTGACAATGAATAAAGAGAGCTAAAAACAACCATTTAAGATGATTCCTTGCCTCAAGAGCAGGGAAATTTTCACTTACACAACACAGCTACTTAAAGTTTGGTGAAAAGAAAACGTTATTTTGAAAGACAAAGGAATTATTACAATTTTTCAAAAAAATCTCAACCTCTCCATTCTAATTGTAGGGAAGGAGTTAATAACATGATTAATTATTTTCTAAATGAAATACTGTTTTATTTCAAAATAAAGTCTTATAAGAGGATCCAAATCAAAGTATGCAGAATATATTTATGGGGAAAGGAATTAACAATTCTTCAACAGTAACAATAGGTTAAGTATTATGTGGCACACATCATAGACATCATCCAAAAAGAACTCAAGGTACACAGTATCCTGTACTTAATGTAAAGGGTGTTTACTCAGGCTTAGTGAGGTTAGGGTAACTGTCCAAGTAACAGACTATGAAATTAAACCCAGATCTAACCCAAAGTTCTTCAGAACTATCTGACAATTTATCGTATGACATACTGCATATGTCACAATTAACTTTCCTATCAAATAATAACTGAGATTAACCTGAACTTTAGTTGTTGTTGTTTCAAGATTTATTTTATTTATTTTATTTATTTTATTTTATTTTATCTATTTTATCTATTTTATGTTATTTTTATTTTATTTTATTTTATTTTATTTTATTTTATTTTATTATTTTATTTTAGAAGGAGAGAGAGAGCAGGAGCAGGGAAAGAAGCAGACTCCCTGCTGAGCAGGAAGCCTGACTCTAGGGACTCAATCCCAGGACCCAGGGATCACAACCTTAACTGAGGGTAGACACTTAACCAACTAAGACACCCAGGCACCCCCAGAAATTCAGTTTTTATTACAAATCTAGGATTCATGACCAAAGAATAAATGAATTATCTGCATTTTTGTTCACTCTGTTTTTCTGTTCTAATTTTCTCCCATTTAAAACACAAAAGACTGAAAAGAATACAGTTCAACCACAAATTAACATTCTGTAAAAAAAAAAAATTAAACACAGCTTATTTTTTAAAAATGTATTTTGTTCCACATACATTACAAACTTACATTAAAAGGACTCTTTAAAAGATGCATTAATTATTATACAGATAATAAGAGCTTTGTTATGGCATCAGAGTATATAAACAGTCAAGTTTCCACATTTTCCTGAAGGGACTTTGTGTGTACTTTGTTTTGTTTTGCAGTGGGAGAGAGAATTACCAAATATCTGAAATATTTAAGAGGTTCAACTTTCAAAATCAATGCTTCCAAAATATACTGCCTTAGTAACAGATGGATGGCCTCTAGGTCTACTCCAAGCACAGAAGTGGAAACTGAAGTTCAAAATGAAAAAGATAAATTTGGTGGGAAAGATCTTTCTGAGTGACTTAAATGGTGACAACTTATCAACTGCAGCTTAGGTCCTCTAAGCATTGACACGGTAGTGACATTACCATAACTAGCAGCTCAGATAAGGAACTGAACGGTACCAGAATGTCCTTTCAGCTTTGATTACCTGAAAGTACCAAATAAAGACTCAGAAAGAGAAAAGGTTTTTTTTCCATAGAAGTTCTTAATTAATCCATTCTTTATCATTTGTTTTTCCCCTTAAAACACTATCTGAGCCAGAAATACACTGTTATGCCATAAAGTAAGGAGGCACTTGAACAATGACAACAGGTCCAAAAGCCATAGACTCCATCATGAAGGGGTTCCTCCTGGCCAAATCTGAAAGAATTTATGAATTGAAATAAATGATGGTGGTAATAAATTATAAATTATAATCCACTGACCAAACAGAAATCCATTTCTCCAAATTTGTATAGCTAAAAGGGAGATTAAAACACATACAAGAATCCCTGGGTGGCTCAGCGGTCTGGCGCCTGCCTTTGGCCCAGGGCCTGATCCTGGAGTTGCGGGATCGAGTCCCACGTCAGGCTCCCTGCATGGAGCCTGCTTCTCCCTCTGCCTGTGTCTCTGCCTCTCTCTCTCTGTGTCTCTCATGAATAAATAAAATCTTAAACACACACACACACACACGTACATACAAGAAAATGAAAAGCTCTTCGTTACAAAAAAAAAAATGTCCAACAATGGAAGTAGAAAGAACGATAGCATTTGAAAATTATCATTACAGCCATAACTGTGCTGATTTAAATGACAGAAGATAAAACACATGAGTCAAAATGTGGTAACGGGATAATTACACAACCTCATTGTATCTGGCCACAAATTACTTAATAATTACAGAGAGAATTAACAAAGGTCACAGTTCACAAGTACTTATTAATTTATAGTGTAGAAATCTGACAGAACACCACCCCAAACAAGTGATCAACAATGTTAATATCACTGACATTGAAATCATAGGCCTCCTGCTTTGATATACTGAGGAGGACATGACATCACTTCTATGGTATTACTACAAAATGCATAACCTAAATCTAATCATAAAGAAACTATCTCAAATTGAGGGACATTATATAAAACATATGGCCTGAACTCATACAATGTCAAGAAAGAAAAAGAAAGGCTAAAGAACACTTCTAAATTTAAAGAGACATGAAAACTAAAATGTATGATCATGGATCAGATCTTGGGGGGAAGGGGTTTAAGATATCAGGGACATAAGTGGGACAGTGATTAACATCAGAGCTGAACTACAGATAAGATAATGGCATTTTATAAATATTAGATTTCCTAATTTTCATAATTGTATAGTGTTTACATGAGAGGATATCACTGTCCTCAGGAAATGTACACTTAAACAGTTAGGGGTTAAAGAAAGAACACTCTCAAGTGTGCAAATGACTCTCGAGTGGCTCAGGAAACAAATTTAAAATACACAGGTTAGAAGTAAAGAGGTAGGCAATCACACAAACTACAAAGCAAACTGGGTAAAAGAAAAACTATTGATGAATCTGAGTAAAAGGATATATGAGGCTGTTTATGCTATTCCTGAAACTTCTTCTAAGGTTGAAATTATATCAATATAAAAGAAATGAGATGTATATAATTTTAGCTTCATAAAATTGTATGCAAAAGCATTTTGAGAATTACAGGAAAGCCTGGGAACATCCAGCATTACACTTGGGAGTCTCAAAACAACTGTGATGCTATTCCTTCTCTTACCTTTCTAACAGATTGTGGATTGCTTTGAAGAGCAGTGTCCGACATTCATAGGAAAGGCCATTTTCCCAGAGTCCTTCTTCCACAACTGAAAAAAAGCAAAACAAAACTAAAAAAATTGAACCAGTAAGAAGAGCATTCAAATAAAAATTAACTTTCAAAACATTTTTCTAAAGCAAAGTTAATGAACTCATTGAAATGAACGATCTTGCACAGAAACTGAGAAAAGAAGTTAAATACTTGCCCAAAGTCATAGAATACTTATATACAGAAGGAAATAACATGTTTCAATTTTACAGTCTTCAGAATATGACCATGGTACAACCCCTCTCCAGTAAAAATCTTTACAATCGGGGATCCCTGGGTGGCGCAGCGGTTTAGCGCCTGCCTTTGGCCCAGGGCGCGATCCTGGAGACCCGGTGCATGGAGCCTGCTTCTCCCTCTGCCTATGTCTCTGCCTCTCTCTCTCTCTCTCTCTCTCTCTCTCTCTCTCTCTCTCTGTGACTATCATAAATAAATAAAAATTTAAAAAAAATCTTTACAATCCGATTCTTCAAAATTTGAAATCATCTGAAATTCTCAAATTAATCTTTCTACCTAACAGTGCAACAAAGACAAATTTTGTTAAAATTCTATTTAAAGATAACAAAACATCACAAACTATTGCTAAGATTAGCTTCTGTATTTTTAGAGAAAAACTAAAAGGAAAAAATATTCAAAAATGTCAGTTATTCAAATTTCCTTAAATGTTCTAAAGGCAGTATCTCAATAGGACTTTAAGGACAGAATTTTAGGAAAAATACCAGGAAATAAAATCTTAATTTAAGATCAGATTTCCTAAACTCAAAGTTTGACTTTTTGGGAAATATCATATTTGCCTTGGAAATACAGCACTGAGGGGATCCCTGGGTGGCTCAGTGGTTTAGTGCCTGCCTTCGGCCCAGGGCGTGATCCTAGAGTCCAGGGATCCTGTCCTGGAACGGGCTCCCTGCATGGAGCCAGCTTGTGTCTCTGCCCCGCCCCCCTAGCCCCCTCTCTCACACACTCTCTCTCTCTCTCTCTCTCAAATAAACAAAATCTTTATTAAAAAAAAAAAAAAAGGAAATATGACACTGAGCCACGAGTAACTCTAACATCAAGAGAATCCAATAGACTAACAATGCCTCATGCATTCCTAACATTCTTTTCATATATAAAAGATATAAAACGCCTTGGAGAAGACAGCTAATTTCCTTTTAAATTATATTAGTTCAGTTCAAGATAACAAAAAATTGGAAGGATGGAAACGACATTTGCAGAAGAAAATTTTACTTCCTTTTACTTATCTTGACAAAACCACTCACCAGAGAAAATTCTGAGAATTAAAACACACGTTAAATCCATAATGCATTTGTAATGCTTTTACCACACCAACAGACATCTCAAAATCTATCTCCAATCACATAGAATTAGAAAAAGCGTATTTACATTCATGGATTTTATCTAAAGGACTTCCTTTAAATGATAAAACCCGAATAATATTTTCTTAGTATGTCAGATAAGCTTTTGTTTTCCTGCCTGTGTGGCTAACAATGATTTACCAAATTTTCCCAAAGCAACCTCTGTCAGAAACATTTTATTATTTATCACTAAAGAAATGGAAATAAAGTACAGCAAATAAACATTCCTGCTAGCAACAGACTACATCTGTTCAAGACAAAACAAGCAAAAGTTTTTACAATCCTGAGGATGTCCTGAATCTGTGTTCTCACACATTTATCTTCTAGATAGAGCTTTTCCTGGGTGAGAAAGAGAGCTAACATTTCAACAAAATGACCACTTCATATTAATTTGATTTTCCTTTTTAATGTGTCTCAGTGACTATAAGACACTATCAAGTTCAAGAAGCATGATTTTTTTTAAATATTGCTGAAGGTGAAGGGGTGGAGGTAAGCTGCCAATTAAACTATAATATGAAAAAAAAAACAAACAAAAAAATAAACTATAATATGGCTTTTATTACTTAGGATTTTTAATTTGCAATTATTTAAAGAGCTCCTTTACATTTATTGACATGTTTTTATTTTTCTTGAAATATGCTTTAGAGAAAGAGAGTGAGCAAGGGTGAGGGGCAGAGGAAGAAAGAAGCAGACTTCCCAATGAGCACAGACCAAATGCAGGGCTGGATCCCATGATCCTGAGATTATAACCTGAGCCAAAACCAGGAGTGGGAGGCTTACCTCATTGAGTCACCGGGTACCCTATTCACATTTTTTTTTCAAATATCATTATTGTACAAACATAAAACATATTATAAGCACCACCCCAAAAAAGGTTAAAAATGCCTAAAACTTCATCAGCATTTAGATGTTGACTCTTCTGAATCACGTTTTGACTCGTTACTAGTGTCAGTGTTTTTCTATGTAATAGTCTTTTGTGTCATAAAGAGTGTTAGTGATGCAGCATTTGTGAAGAGTCCCACTCTTCTAAGGTTTTCTTCCAAGTTGGTGACATCTATTCTGCACATTGTTTTAAAATATATATATATATATTAATTAAAAATCTTCAAACATACTTTAAAAAAACAGACCCAATAAATTCCTAACCCAAATTATCAACATTGTGTCATCTGCTTCAACCACTCTGCTTTTTTTTTTTTTTTTGTTCTTCTTGATATAATTTAAAGTACGTACTCTGCCTGCCGTTCATGGAAGTTGTCAAAGTTCTCAGTCAACAACCATAACTCTATTTCTTCCTCAAATGGTCCTGAAATACTTTAACTGAAATGTTTAAGTGTTATAGTTGTCCAATCATGCAATGTGGAATACTAAAAAAGTTTCAGCAATGTCTACAATTTTTTATCATTATAATTTTATCATGATTTCAACAATTTTAAAATAGACTGAAGAATTGGGTTTTTTTGTTTGAAAAAATTCTTAAAAGAACAGTCACAAAAACCTACAACTAACATATTTAATGATAAAGGACTGATTATTTTCCCCTACTATCAAGAACAAGGCAAGGAAGTCTGCTTTCACCACTCCTGTTCCAATTTTAGTGGAGGTGTCATCACCAATACAATAAGGCAGGAAAAAAAATACCAGACATACTAATTGGAATAGAAGAAATAAAACATCTCTATTCACAGATGACATGACATGAGAAAATCCTATAGAATCAACAACGACCAAAAAAACAGTAGATCTAAAACTGAGTTTAACTAGATCACAGAATAATAGGGTCAACAGAAACAAAAAAGAAAAAATCCTATTCCTATATACTATAATGAATAAGAAACTGCATTTTTTAAGATTATCACTTATAATAGCACCAAAACACATGAAATCCTTGGATATAAAACCTACAAATTATGTACAAGATCTAAATGCTAAAAACTACTACACTGATGAATGCAATCAATGAGACATAAATAAATGCAGAGGTATATATTGATCATGGACTGAAAAAGTTATTATTGTCAAGATATCAATTCTTCTAAAACAGATCTATAGAGTCAACTCAATTATAATTAAAAAAATCTCTAAAGGATTTTCTAGAGAATGAGAAAAATTGCATTTATATGACAAAGCAAAGGAACTAGAATACCTTAAATAATGCGGCAAAAGAAAAATATAGCTAGGAGACTTACATAACCTGATTTCCAGATTCACTATAGAACTAGAATTGACAACATGGTGCGGTACTAGAGATAGGATACACAGATCAACAAAACAGTATAGCCTACAAACTGACCCAAAAATATATGATCAATCAGCTTCCAAAAAAGGTGCAAAGGCAGTTCAGTGGAGTAAGAACAGTCTTTTCAACAACTAGAACTGAAATAAATGATAATCCCTATGCAAAAAAAATGAAGCTCAAACTATAGGTCACATCATATAGAAAAATGAACCCTGAAATGTAAAACCTAACTAAAACTATAAAATTTCAAAAACACAAGAGAAACTTTTTATAAGCTTAGGTTAGCAAAGATTTCTTAGATATGACACCACAAGCATGATCCAGAATGAAAAACTGCTCAACAGAGCTTCATCGAAATGAAAAACTCTTCTGCTCTTCAAAAAAAAACACAGAAAAGTTATGTTCAACTACAGAAAAGCCCTTTAGTATGGCTTAAAAGAAAAACTGAAAATACAAAGTGCTAGTGAGCATACAGAGTAATTGTAATGGGCATATACTGCTGATAACAATGCAAAAATAGTACACTGTGGAAAAGCTGACTTTGGCAATTTTTTCTGCAGTTAAACATACACTTGCCATGCAGTCTAGCATCATCCATCTTAGGGGTGTCTGTGCTCGAGTGCACAAGCATACACACACATGCGTATTCAAGTAAAGTAAGAAACTTGTGTCCACATGGAAAATTGTAGCAAATATTTAGAGCTGGTTTGTTATTGTTTTCCCAAAATGCCAGGAACCGGAAAACATCCAAAAGTCCCTCAACTGGGAAAAGAACAAACAGCAGACAATCCATACACACTGGGATACTATTCAGAAATAAAGGAGGGGGGAGCGCCTGGGTAGCTCCGATGGTTAAGTGGCCATCTTTTGATTTCAGCTCAGGTCATGATCTCAGAGTCTTGGGATCAGCCCTGTATAGGGCTCCGAACTCAGTAGGAAATCTGCTTGAGGATTCTCTCTCTCCCTTTCCCTCTGCCCCTGCCCTGGCTCCCATGCTCATGGGCACAGGCACATGTGGGTTCTCTCTCAAATAAATAAGTCTTGGAAGGGAGGGAGGGAGGGAGGGAGGGAGGAAGGAAGGAAGGAAGGAAGAAAGGGAGGGAGGAAGGGAGGGAGGGAGGGAGGGAGGGAGGGAGGGAGGGAGGGAGGGAGGGAGGGAAAAAGAAAAGAAAAGAAAAGAAAAGAAAAGAAAAGAAAAGAAAAGAAAAGAAAAGAAAAGAAAAGAAAAGAAAAGAAAAGAAAAGAAAAGAAAAGAAAAGAAAAGAAAAGAAAAGAAAAGAAAAGAAAAGAAAAGAAAAGAAAAGAACTACTGATATACTCAAAATATGAATGAATGTCATTATACTAAGCGAAAAAAGCCATCATACTCAGAAAGCCACATGCTTTAGGATTCATTCATATAGTGTTCTC